CACGGGTTGGGTCCAATTGCCTGTCAGTTTTTTTAAAAAGAATTTTTTCAGATTCTCTATAGTGAGTTATATCTGCCATTTTTTCCGAGATAGAGAAGACTGAAGAATGGATGCTACTGTTACAAACGATCTATCTAAGAATTGAGAATTAAACAAGTGTTGTTAAAATATTGCTTCAAAGACAGTAGGGTTCGGGTCAACTTTCCTTAAATTATGAATTCTATAAGTTTCCCGTTTTAAGTGTCTCTGCTACATTCTCTGAAAAAAGCGCCGTTAGGATTAATATTACTAACATAAAAATTCTTCTTTTCTGGCCGTAAGAGGTACTTGTACTCAAATAAAGATCGACTAGGTGAAATGTGTAAAGGAGAGAGTACGCACTCAGATCTAAGCTGGTTTGTTGGTTTGGGAGAGATTCTAAATGTCTAAGCTGGATAATTATGGAGTCATTGGAAAACTTAAAACGATGAAGTCCACCTAGATCAGCCCTAAAAGGAGTTTCACTTTCTTCAGAGCGTCTCTTTCTGGGTTTATAGGTCAAACCATATCGCTCCGGCAATGCAACATTCACTTTCTCATCAGTCAACATCATCAAGTGAAATTTGTCCTTCAGTTCCTTGTCCACAGTTCTCAGAGATCATTTAGTCTAGCTTGAGAATCTTGCTTTTGGTTTATGTGCAGATTAGCTCGGACTATTTTACATTATCATGGCGAACTTGCACAATATCGACTTATCAAATAAGATTCCAAGATTTATTTTCTTCCGTCAGCGTACTAAAATAGATTTTAGGAATGTACATTCTCTTCCTTCACTTCCTTTGAAAAAGCTCCAAACCTTGTTAGAATAATTTACTTTCCATACAAGACAACTCATTCCAAACCTATCTTCCTTCTACTGAGCTAATCTTTTTTCATCTTTTTAGAATGCGCATCGTTTGTATTGGAGCAGCACCAACAGGCTTGGGAGCTGCATTCCGTCTCAATGAATTAATCCAAGAAAATCATGAAAACGCCGAAGATGTCGAGATGGTGATTCTTGAGAAGGTAGGAACTCTCACACCTGAACTCTTCGTTCTACAAGCGCTACACAGACATTATTTCAAGTGTTCAAAGTATTTCCTTAAATGCTCTGATGTAGCCAAATCACTATACTTTTTTCTAGGAAGCCTACGCAGGAGGTCTTTCATGTACAGTAAAGGATGAGAAGGGTTTCCTCTGGGATATGGGAGGCCATATCACCTTCAATCATAACTTCCCTTACTATGAGAAGGCGGTCAAGTGGGCAGTAGACGAATGGAATAGTCTTCAAAGGAATTGCATGGTAAGTTGGACAGCTTCAGAGC